TCTCTGTTAATGGTGTTGAGCTTATGTCTTCTGGGCTGTCACAATGGTTTTATACTTTTCAAACTTCTGCCCTTATTTCTGAAATCTGACGCTGTTCATGATCCAATGAAGAATTTATCAGGATGCAAAATGTAGTATTAGAACTAGGGCAGTGCTGAGCAATAATAGGAAGATGGTCACCCTGCGACGAATCCTCTCCTATACTCTAGTAAGACAATAATGAAAGAAATGAAGTATTTAATGTCCATTTAAAAAAATATTTCCATCTAGGCAGTGGTGGCACACGCCTTCAATCCCAGCACTTGGGAGGCAGAGGCAGGCGGATCTCTGTGAGTTCAAGGCCAGCCTGGGCTACCAAGTGAGTTCCAGGAAAGGCACAAAGCTACACAGAGAAACCCTGTCTCGAAAAACAAAAAAACAAAAAAAGTATTTCCTCTTCTTTTGTTTGTTTTGTTATGGTAGCTGTGAGTCTGGTTCATCAAATATGATGAATTTTTCTTTTTTTTTATATTCACAGTAAGAAACGTTCAAATATATCAAAGCATGGAGTTGTGTTTCTTTAAAGTAAAGAGAATTTGCTGAGTTCTACTAAATCCGAAAGGCAGTTGCATGGTTGCATGTGAATTTTTTTCCCCCTCTATCTTGCTAGTGTTTCTCTTTTAACATGAACACTTGAAAATACTAATGTTGATTTGTATTTCATAGAAATATAAAAATTTGGAGTGAATTTATTTGGTTAATTTGCTATAAAGAAGTAGGAAAGAACATCCTCTTGTCCTTCTCTAGGTTATTCAACTGTGATTTACATCTTGTTCTACAGAAGAAACCATTGCTTCAGATCACTGAGCCCTTTACCGCCCATAAGCCTGTGAGGTGACCTTCGTGGTTAGTGAGCTGGTTGCCAAGATTTAGAGAAATTCCAAGAACTTATTTAACAGACTCTACACTACATTTATCAGCAAATAGACTTTTTGGAATTCTATGGGCTTCAGTGAAGCCTACAGTTCTAACTCATGTTTTATCTCATGATATGGACATTGTAAAGAAAATGTGCTCTTTAATAGAAAAAAAGCCACATTTTAGTAGTACTCTGAATATTTTAGAACAAAATAGGTTTGAAAAGGCAGTTTTATAATACTAAAGTGCGATAATATGTATTAAGTAAAACAAGTTCTTAATACTTACTGTTGTACAGCTCATAGTTATAATAGAATGATCCAGGAAACATAGTTCTCAAAAATGTTTCTTTAAAGAAGAAAATAAAAAGAATAAAAGTTAATTCATTCCGTGTGTTACCCATCTAGTAACAGTTATATAGTCCCAGTAAATAATATTTAAAAATCTATGTTTTGTGTTGTTAACTTGATTTTTAAATAATGTTGATAATGTCAAGAGATTCATACAATGTTTTATTGCATTCAAGATTGGATTATTTTTAAAATCATGAGGCAAAGGTCTCTCTTTCCCATTGCATGAATGTGGATTTACTTTCTTTAGATGTTTGCATGGTCAGAGTGCTACTTACAAGACATTGTCCAGGCTATCTTTTTTCCACCCATTATTCTCCCTGAGCTGTCCTTAGTGACATGTAAAAGCAGTTTGGGTGAGATCAAAATAAAAGAAAAATCAGAAAAAAAGAGCTTCTCTGCAGCTCTTCCAAAATTATTTGTCACTTCACATATAAATAGAAACTTTAGAGAAAGAAGAAAAATGTTGTTTGTGTAATTTCTAACAAGTGATGAGAGAATCTTTGAAGTTCCTGAAACTGTTATCTTCTTGAGTATTCTATCACACTCCTCTGAGATTATCTCCCCATCTTCTCATAGGGAGATTATTTCCTTCAACTGTTCTCTTTACCTTTTGTGTTTCTATGTTTTGTAAGTCTGAGCACTCTTTGTAGCAATGTGTACTAAGGGATAAGCCTGAAAGCAAGTTGCTCATCTATGTCTTTGCCTCCTACATGCTGGGATTAAAGGGGTGTGCCACCACTGCCCAGCTAGGGTACAGTTCTTGTAGCACTCTATAATCCCCGAGAATCATTTCCAATTAAATTTTTGCTTTATTCAGGTAGGAGACACTATAAGTTTAGATCAGCTGAGTTGCGTTTTCTATCTCTCTCTGCCTCTGGGTCTTTCTTTCTCTTATTTTTTCCCCACCTTCTTCCTCAGACACACATACATACACATGGAGAGAGAGAGAGAGAGAGAGAGAGAGAGAGAGAGAGAGAGAGAGAGAGAGAGGGAGGGAGGGAGGGAGGGAGGGAGGGAGGGAGGGAGGGAGAGAGAGGGAGGGAGAGGGAGAGAGGCAGGCAGACAGACACAGTGATAGACACAGAAAATTTTGCTATTTTACTCAGGCTGACATCCAACTTATCCTTTTGCTTCTAAATCTTAGATATCTGGTCTAAGTACAATGAGAATCAAATGTCTCAAAACCAAATATTTATAGAGCATTTTATGTACACACTATAAGTTGGGACATGATGTTAATAAGATGGATGCCATCTTCGTTTTCCAGGTACCTTAAGAGTTTAAAAATCTTTGTTACAAATAACTGATTTATATAATGCTCACAAGCCCCCAAATGCTGAAATGTAATGCATGTTTATCATTTTGCAGTAGTCTACTATCACTTTTATTTCATTGGTCTCTCTGTCTTTGAAGAGAATTCTTTTCAATTATTTTTTAATTATATATATATACATATATATGTATATATGTATGTGTGTGAGCACAGAACTTCTGGAAATTCTGTTACGACAAACTCAAAAACAAGGCTTTTTTTATGCTCACAGCTCTTAGAAAGACTGTTTCCTCTCTTCTTTTTACCATACTGATAATATTTAAATTTTGAGTTGTATCACATGGGAGTTTTATCCCAGTATCAAATGCATGCTAATGATGGCTGTTGCTGTTTTCCTAGATAGACAACACTAAGGGTTAGTTAATCACCAGGCTTTGTTCTGTTTGAGTCTTACGTACTTTTGTTACTGACACTTTGAAATCCGATATTCTTCTCTCAGTACTCTGCATGGGGCTTCTCAAGGGTCCACCGCAGCACCAGAAAATATATTTCTTATAAATAATACAACTACCCAGGCAAACAAAAGTGGGAGTTTTTAGTTTCCTCCTCTATTTTTCTTTAGTGCTTTAGGTCTGTCGGATACATTTGAGAAGGTATTGTACCTACCATTTTCCCATCAAGGGAGACTGCTGTGCGGAACACCGGGGGCTTGATATTTCTGCAGTCTCTTTCCTTGGAGGGAAAGAGGAGAGCAAATAGCTCGCTGTTCAGGGAGCCAGGCAGCACCAATCACTCTCCACTCACAAACCACAAAAGTCATTTATACTATCAGAGGCCCAGTGCTGTTTTAGAAATATCCTTAGGAGAACCAAGCAGTTAAAACAAAGCTTCACCTAGTTTTTTTTTTTTTTTTTTTTTTTTTTTTTTTTTTTTTCATGATTTGTGCTTTTCCCAAGCTGACTTAGACAGGAATATTCCAAATCTATTTCACAGTCAGTTCTAGGGGAGGTCTTCATGAAATAACAACAGTGTAATTGCATCTGGCAGGAGGAAAATGCTCTGATTCATGCGATTCAGACTCTGGGATAATGACTCACTTGGAGCAACTTTCACGTGCATGTTTTTCACACTATCAAGTTGGAGAATAAAATAAAATAGAAAGCATATTAACTAATATTAATATTTGTTATCTGGCTAGTTTAATGTAGAAGATACTGTGATGTTTCTCTGGTAAAACATGTATGAAGGGCTGGAGAAATGACTCCGTGGTTAAGAACACATGTTGCTCTTGTAGAGGACCCGAGTTCTACTCCTAGCATCTATGTTGGGTTGCTCACAACTGACTATTACTCCAGTTCCAGTGAAGATCTGATGCCTCTGGCTTCCTCTGGCACTGGTACTCACTTGTACTAACAAAACTCTGTGTATCACCATAGACAAAAATGGTATTTGTTCAAGTTATAGTTGATTTTTGGCTACTCAGAATGTACCATGTACCTGTTCAACCTAATGTCCTTGATTTGTCCTTTACAGTTTTCCGTAAGTGGTACACTTTGGGGGTGCCTTGACTGGTTGCTTTATTGAAAAAAAAAAGTTAGATCCTTGAGAATTATCTGTAAGTCAGTCTAATGTTCACATCTTGTTTAGAATTGCATGAATTAAACTTAATGATTTACTTTTCATTTACAGGTAGAAATTAGGTGTCTATGGCTTTTTAAGAACTCAAGAAATAAAGGTGAATGGCCATGCACAAGCTGTTCACGACTTTATTCCTCAGTTCAGGTCACTGTTTTGACAAGTCATTATGAACTCTCAAGCAACCCAATATGAATGTAAATCCCATGGATATCCTCATTACCTGAGAGCTTTCCACTAAGTATGTGGTATACCATGCAGCTACTCAACAGAATTAACTGAAGGGTTTTTTTTTTTTTATAAAATTCATAGTTTAATGAACTCAATTTGAAAATTATGATGAATCATCTATAGTATAAGGATTTATAAATTTCATATACATATAAAAGTCTGTTGATGATTCAAAAACCAGTTGAGGCACTAATTTTTCAAAATGTGCATTTTATAGTTTTGAATAGAGTATTCTACAATTGGAATTTATTTTTAAAAAATAGTTTAAAAAAATCAATGTAGGATTAAACACCTACAGTTTTACCTTGACGTCTTTCACCAGAGTCACATTGACCTCCTTCACTTATTTATATCCTGGAAATACATGTACTAAGAATGTAGCCAATGAAATTTATTGATACTTCTGAATCTCCAAGTTTTCTACATTTTGGTAAAAAAGACAAAAGACTTTAATTGTGGATTAGAAAGCCAAAGTGATTCAGTTTTCACATGTGTGGTGAATATAGAGCCTATTTAGTGTTTCCTTAAAATTGTGCTTCCTGAACCCAGAACTCATTCCCATTCATCCCCAAAGGCAACTTAAGGTCTCTCTTTTTTTTTTTTGTCTCCAGCACAGTGATGCAGTCCACGACCTCCTTCTGGATGTGATCACGTGGGTCGGAATCTTGCTGTCCCTTGTTTGTCTCCTGATATGCATCTTCACATTCTGCTTCTTCCGTGGGCTCCAGAGTGACCGTAACACCATCCACAAGAACCTCTGCATCAGCCTGTTTGTGGCAGAAGTGCTCTTCCTGACTGGAATCAACAGAACAGACCAACCCGTAAGCTGCTTACATTGCTGTTAGCAAAGGCTGCCTATGATTTTTAGCTTTCCAGGACTGTCAGTTGTGATAACAATCATGCTCTTTCCTTTTGTTCAGTTCGTAGACAGTGACTTTCACACCTTACTCTGCGTTTCATTTTTCATGTCCGCTGCCGTAAAGACATGGTGAACATTATAGATGGGCTGCATATTTCTTTTTATTTCAGTATTACATTAGTCTGTTTTTTTTTATACAGTATAGTGATTGTCCACATAACTCCTGTTTGCATGTGTGTATAGCCTCCTCTGTCATCCACACCTCCTACCCGAGTGATGTATTTGTGACCATTGATGAAGGTTTATTGACACATCATTATTACTTAAAGTCCATGGTTCATAATTTGCATTCATTCTGAGTGTTATGTACTCTGTGGACACAGAGAAACCCATATTAACTCTTATAATAACATATGCAGTATCTTTCATTGTCTTGAAAATTCTCTGTAATTCTTTTTATCCTCGTGTCTTCACTGAGCCATGACATTCATTTCTTCTTTTTATGTTCTCTAATAGTTTTGCCTTTCCCCCAATATTATTGGGATCATATACTATATAACTTTATCGGACTAGTTCTTTTATCTTGCTAATATATACTCAGGTTTCTCACTCATGACACTTTATGACTTGATATCTCTTTTCTTTTTAACACAATAATATTCTTTTGTCGATATACTACAGTTTATATATCTGTTAAACCATTGAAGTGTATTTTTTTGCTTCCAATTTTTAATAATTTTGAATAAAACTGCTATTAACATTTTAGTGCATTGTGACTCTTTTGTTTGTTGTTTTGTTTTTGTTTTTTTTTTTGTGGTATAATCTTTCAACTCCTTCAAGTAATTACCAAAAAACAACACAACAATAGCAACAAAACAACCAACCAAACAAACAAAAATCATAATTAATGGGTCATGTGGTAAGGTATATTTAGTTTGGGGAGAACATTGCCAGTTTCTTTTCAAAGATCCATATTTTTCTGCATTTGCACCATCAATGATGAAGGCATACATTTGTTCAGAAATCAGAAGATTCTTATGACTAGAGCTTCAATGGAAAGGAAAGCTTTACTCTGTAGTTCTCAGAAGACTTGTGAGTCTAATAAATAATTCACTCACTCAATGCTGCTCTCCAGTAGGTGTTCCTATACATGGTGTACTATATAATAAAATGCAGTTTCATTCAGGACTGTAATTATGCATTCATGATTAATGACTGCAAAGGATACAATTATGGTGAATATATTTTTAATTGGTTAGCATATACTTAATGTGATAGCTTGTCTCATAAATGCATATGAATAAGCAATCAAAGTACACATTTTCCTCCTCAAACTAAAGACTTATGATTACAAAAATTTATAGTTGAAATTGTAACTTTAAAATCCTCAAATGAACAATTGTGTTATTTTTGAGGAAAATATTCTATTCTTCAGTTAACCCCCAATTGAAATACTTTTAGTTTCTTTCACATAGAAATCATACTTGAATTTTAATTCCCCAATGTTAATATGTTATGATAAACTTCACCAGGCAATGACTGCTGCACAAAACCAGTCTCTGGTGAATAGCATAAACAATGGAGCCTGATTTAAAAAAAAATGTAGGGAGAGCATTACTCAGTTACTCAGTAAAGTGACTTCTTATTAGTTAGGTGTCCTTCTTTGAATTCCACATTGTCTTTGGACCCTGATCTCTCTCTAATCTTTCTGACATTTAACTTCTTCAATCATCCTTCATCTTTCTAGAGCATGGAAGCAGACTTACTCATTGTCTCTAGAGATCATGCTCATTAATCAGAATCCACTGAAATTTTATGGGATTTGTTTGCTTGGTTGTTTGTTTTTACGGTTGTTGACCTTTGTTGGTAGGAAAAACAAATTTAAGTAAGGACTTCCTGTCAGAAGAACAAGAGCAAAGCCATGAAAATTGTTATTGGGAACCTGATAGATGACCCACTAAAATTTCTAGTACTTTAGGAAGAAATTTATGAATAACTGTCCTTAATTTAAATCAAGCTATCTGGACTAATACCTAGTGCAGTGACAAAAAAAAAAAAAAAGAGTCTGAGAAAGAAAATATTTCTGGAACGCTGAATTTTTGAAAGGATGCATTTATTTTTATTTTGTGTGCTGAGTCTTTGCCTTCATTTCTGTGGGTCAAATGCATGCTGGGTACCCATGGAGACCGGAAGAAGGCTTTGAACCCTCTGGAACTAGAATTGTGAGCCCCATGTGTGTGCTGAGAACCAAAGGCATATCTTCTACAAGAGCAGCAAGTGTTCTTAAGCACTCAACCGTCTCTCCAGTCCTGAACACTACATTTTATTTGGATCCATTTTTGCCTCAATGCAGAGTTAACATTCCAACACTACTTAGCCCTGCCTGAAGCAGGGAATAGACAATCAGCAATTCTTAATACATAACAATCTCATTGGAAGATTGCTACTAATTAGTGACATTACTTTATATCATTTGATTTTAAAAATGCTTGTTTTCCTTGATTTTAATATTTCTCTTTCATTTATAACTGAAGACATTGAGGAGAGTGTAGCTCTGTGGTAGAGCTCCAGTCTAGCACCTTCAGTCTGATTACCAGCACTGAAAACAAAAAATAATAAAGTAAGAACCAACATCTTAGTCTATGTTCAGAAGAAACTTTTACAAAATTGATTTTAAAATAATTCTCCTTTTGTGTTTTTCTTTATTTTTCTTCCTTTCTTCTTTCCTTCCATACTTTCTTTTTAAATTTTGGGGCACAGTCCTTAGCTCTCTAGCTCAGGCTACTTTCAATTCCTTTCTTTTTTCTTTATTAAATTTTTTTTATGCATTTTACATACCAACTACAGATCCCCCTCTCATCCCTCCTCCTGCTCACTCTCAGCCTTATCCCCCAACACCCCCCAGTCCCTCCTCCGAAAGCTACTTTCAATTCTATTGTCCCTGCCTAGCCTATAGAGCCCTGGAGTTACCTGTATACATAACCAGATTCGGATTTAAAGATTTAAAATTCTTTAACTATAAAGATTTAAAAACTTTAGACTAATATCAGTAGTAATTATCCCTAGGCTCTTAATCGATTTTCCCCCTAAATGTTCTGATTTCCCTTATTTTAATGTGGTGTCCGCCATAAGCTGTTAATTAAGATAAAAGGCAGTTTTCCAGTCAGTTATTGTATTTAATTCATTTTATTGTTTATACTCTAAGAGTCTTATCCAGATTATTCTGTTGCAGACCTGTTTTATAATTGCCGGGTTGATAGTGGTTTATGTTAGTTTTGTGTCGGGCTTTGTGTGGTTTATGTTAGTTTTGTGTCGATCCACGTGTTTGTTCCACGACTGAAGTCCGTGTTCCTTTTCCTAGATCGCCTGTGCGGTGTTTGCAGCGCTTTTGCATTTCTTCTTCCTGGCGGCCTTCACCTGGATGTTTCTGGAAGGGGTGCAGCTGTATATCATGCTGGTGGAGGTTTTTGAGAGCGAGCATTCACGGAGGAAGTACTTTTATCTGGTGGGCTATGGCATGCCTGCACTCATCGTGGCCGTGTCTGCAGCAGTGGACTACAGGAGCTACGGAACAGACAAAGTGTGAGTTGAACGGTTGTTTGCTGGCTTTCTTCTCTCCCTCTTTTCAGGTCTACTCCAGGCAAAAGCTTTGGAATCTCTTGATGTGGATTTGCCCTCACAGCATTCACTAAAGGAACCGTGAACCGTACAAGCAACGGAGAGTATGATTCAGTGTATGGCTGGGTGTTTGCTGTGAGGTTAAAAAAAAAAAAAATCTTGAAACTCTGAGGCTGTTTTAGAACTGCGTGTTTGTAGATCACAACCTCTAGTAACTGTAAGAATGATAATTTCATATTATTTTTCGGGGCATTCAGACGTGTCTCACCGCATGAAAACTGTTTTCATACCACAGAGTTGCTCCTGACACTGTTGGTTTCTAATCGTGTGATGTCAGGGATCGTCTCGGATGGGTTTTTGTACTGTCAGGAAAACTGTTCCTCCTCTTTTTTTTTTTTTTCTACATTATTTTTGGAGTCTAGTAATAAAGTTTGTTTTCAATATACTTTTAAATTGTCGAGGTGTGTTTATAGAGATGTGCAGCACTTAAGAAAGACGTTCAGGTAGGGTGTGATGGCCCATGGCACTTGGGAGGCAGACGTAGGTAGATTTCTAGGTTGGAGGCTAGCCTGGTCTACAGAGGTAGTGCCAGGACAGCAGGGGCTACGCAGAGAAAAACTCTCTCAAAAATATGAAAAACAACAACAACAACAAAGGAAAGAAAGAAACTGTTGGAGCTAGGAGCTAGAGAGATGCCTCAGCAGTTGAGAGCACTGGCTGCTTTTTTCTAGAGGACCCTCCTAATTCGGTTCTCAGCATTCACATGGCAGCCCACAACTGTCTGTAACTTCAGTTACAGGGGATCCGGCACCCTCACATATGTAGGCAAAACACCACATAAAAATAAGGAATTTTCTTTTTTTTTTTTTTTTAAAGAAAGAAAGACATTCAGTTCCAAAGACTTTAATGACAACTGAGATCCGAAACAATGAATGGAAGGTTTCACTAGAAAAAGTACAAAGAACCCCTGGTAGATGCCCAGTACTTACATTTTAGGTGTAGACAAAGGAGGGAGAATAAAAACGAAGAAGAAGATTAGGCAGATCCCTGGAAACAGAACATTGGGACTGAGGGTCAAGGGAATAAGAGAAGGTTCCATGTCAGCCTTTCAGAACCGGTGGTGATGTATGTCAAAGATAATTAAAGTAGGGTAATTACAGGGAGAAATAGCTTGATCGTTGCCACAACTATCTCAGGACTAGAACCACAAGACAAATCAGAAGGTGTGAAGAATATATTAGCAGAGGCTTCAGATATTATCTGTACCCTGAAGTAATTTCACTGAAAATACTGGTTTATATGAATGGAGCAGTTTTGATTATGGTGTCACATGAGCTGGGGAGGCTCAGGTTCTGTGGGAACATGCTTGCCTAGCGTGCCAAAAAAAAAAAAAAAAATGTAGGAGGACTTTGTGAAAGACGAAGTCTTTAGAATGTGTAGGCTGAGAAGAATCAAGGTGACACAAAATTAATGAAAAGAAAATTGGTTATTTCTCATTTGTATTCAGTGTACATAGGCTGAATGAGAGGAAAGGTCCCAGGGTGATTTAAAAAAAAGAGAGAGAGATATAAAACTAAACATAGCATTAGAAAGACCTTAATTGAATGTGTTGAAAGTTGCTTTAGAACTCACCACTCCCGCAGTTATATTGTATGGATGAGAAAAATCAAGCCCATTCGTTGTGATTTGTCTATCATTATAGAGACAGGTGTAAGAAGACATTGGATAAACCATCAGGTTTATTTCAAATGCAGTTGGACTTAAATAACCTTTCTCTTTATTGATAAGCGAAGGAAGGGATGAGTAATGTACATGTCTAAGCACGGAACAGTTGCACCAACCATAAGATGCTGACTCTCTGTGGAGTGAAGTGGTGAGGTCGTGTTAAGAGGACAAGAGTTTTGAAACGCTTTGAGCACTATGGAAAGTGTGTTAAAGAGCCAATTAGACATTAATAAAGAGATTTTGAGGCAGCACTGAAGGCTTGGGTGAGGTTAGATAACATTAGTTTGTACAGAAGTTAATAAGCCAGATTTCATGACTTTCTACCAGGCACCAGGAGCCTGAACATGCTGGCTGTAAAGCGGCTTGCTTCCCAGAAATGGAGGTTCATAAAGAGGGAATGACGCAAAGAAGACACCAGGATTAGTGAGAGCATAGTTAGAATAGAGCATGTGCTTCCCAGACCTCAAAAATACAATTAAGAGGAGACTATTTCGTTTCTGGTGCATTCTTTTTTAGTACGGTGACAAGCTATGTTATCTATCTCTATGTAACAATTATTTTCAAATTTGATGTTTTAAATTGCAATCAAATCCGAATTCATTCTGTCAGTCCCAAAGCAACCGTGGGAGCAGACTATGGTTAACAAAATGATATCCAACTTGGCTTCTAAATATGTCTTAGGAGAGGGGCATTAAATTCATCATAGGCTCTCTTTTTTCTTCTCAAATAATATATTTATTGATATAATTCACAGGCCATAAAACTACTCCTTTGAAGTATATTCTTCAAGCTTTTTAAGATGTTCCCAATGCTATATACTTATCACCACTGATTTTACAATATTTCCATCAACTTATAAAGAAGCCCATTAGTGGTCATTCCCCCTGGATCACAACATTTTGCATTTTAATTAATGTATTCTCCCCCTAAGAAGTTAAGCTGAGTTATATCATTATGTGTGACCTTACACTGTTTCCAATATTGTTCTTAAACAGTCCAATCTTATTTGCTGGATATTTCTGCTTTACTTTTTGTTTTTATTCGATGTTTATCTTTTCACCAGAGTTATTTGCAAATTTTCCTATTACTGAACTGAGTCAAATTATTTGCTTTGTGTTTCAGTCATTTATTTTGAAACAAATGTCATTTTCTGGATAGTAGAAATCTGTCTTCTTAGAATCAATAATATACAGTCCCTAGTGGCTTTGTTAAAGCTTTGGCCATCATTGCTTTAATTTCCTGCCCTACAACTGGTAGGTCTCATTTACTGACACTATTACTCTGTGGGAATAGAGAGTGATTCATTTCCCAGGCACAATTCTAAACAATCCTTAATTGCTCAGTTATGCAATTATAATTTTTTTCCCAACCAAAAGCAAAGCAAAAGATTTAGATGAACAAAGATAAGTGAACGAGGGAGGAAAGAATAGAGAAAAATATGGTAAAATCTCTGACAGGCATAAAGCATTTTAATGTTTATTTTACATTCATAAAGTGTTCACAAAGATGACTCCAGGATCTATGGGGATAATATATCTAACTTCAACTTTGGGGGAGTTCATTGAACCCAATATATGTCTAGGAATGTTTTTCTCTTAAGGAAGCTAGTGTTGAAAAGAGAACTGTTATTTTGTGATAGATATTTACCCCAGAAGCTGACATGAATGTAGCATGTTTCCATTTGGGCTTATTCAAGATATCTTCTTAAAGAAAATTATAATCAGTGGGTTTTTATTTATTTATTTATTATTCTTTTGTCTGGTGTGGGCAATTGAACTTGGGTCATGGTATTTGAGGCAACCACTCTATCACTCAGCTATATCCCTAACCAAGGCATTGAGTTTTGACTCAACTCGTATGATTTCTACATTCTATAACTTGGGCTTTATTTTCTTATGTCTTTGTCTTTCCAGTTTCTCTAATTGTTGTTGATTGATTTTATTTTATTCCAGAAGATGATTTGACTTTCTAAGTACTAACTATGTAGCTTTTTTTTCTTTCTTGTGTAATAATGCAGCAAAGCAAATTTTTAGAAGTTATCAGAAATACTTTGGTTAAGAAATGGTTAGAACTATTCACAGAACTGGCAGAAGATTTTTAATACAGAAAACTTTCTTTTCTGTGTACCTCTTACTTAAATTTCAGGCTACATTGATTTCCAAAATCAATTAAAATGTCAGTAGTCTCATCTAGTATAAATCCTAATAACCCAGAAATCAAAGATATTGCCAGCTTAAATCTTGGAAATTTCATGATTCTTAATTTTTGTTCTAATTTAATATTTAGAGTATATCTGGAATAACTCCAATTAATGTATTATATTGTAATGTAGTCTAAATAATACATTTCTCCTTTCCATTCTCTGATTGTGTTTAATCATTTCATTATAGTGATAATGGGGTGTTACATCTGAAACCTTTAATAACAGCAGCATACATTTCTAAGAAAAAGACTCATACTGATGGTAAATGATGAATTTAGAGATAAAATTCTCTTCTAGGCTAAGTAAATGTTATTCTGATACACATAGAGATAGCTATCATATTCCATCTGGCTGATGGATTATGATGTGTTTTTCTATGAAGTGTTATTAGGCTGTTGAATTTATTATGTACAGAACACATACTCATGAACAAAGCTCACATAATTTGATCTTAAGATGTTGTTTAGTTTGCCATCAATTTGCAATGCTTATAAGAGAGTCGTTACCTTGTGATGTTTGAATAACAAAATCTTTTAATCTAATTGACATACTTAAATATATAATTTTAATAACATTCGGACACAATAGCATGACATTTAAAAAAATCTATTTGAATAACCAAAAATCTTTTAAAAATAGCCCTCTGCCAGTGGATCACAAATGTGTATTTCACTGTTAATCATGAGCATATATTTCATTTTTGCCTCTGATCATTTATGCTTTTATTCTTTTGGAGAAGCAGTGAAGCTATTCCATGGGATACTGTCAGAACATGATTATAATGAAGATTAATAATAATTCAAACAGGACTGTTCTGAAATTCAGTTCTAAATACTATGATTTTATTACCTGAAACAAATCAGTTCATTTAAAATTTATCAAAACATTACAAAAATATGAACAGTTTAAACAGTTAAGTCTAAATAGCTTTAATGTTAGTCTAAGTAGCTTTAATTGTTTCCTTGGACTTTTCTCATAATCTCTTGTGTACAATCAAAGGGACAGTGGATAGCATCCTGACTGGGTTGGAAGAAGG